CCCACCATTGATGGGAAAGCTTGTTGGTGCTTTTGCCCTTGCTGGGTTAGGGTACCAGCAGATGTGGGAGGTCTGTCGCACTTTGGGCGTGCCAAAGCCAGGTCATGGGACCTATTACAACCTCATGGGAGGGGATGAAGGGTTGTGGGGTGTCATGATCGAGCAAGCCAAGTGCTGTATGGAGCGTGTTCGAGCGACCGTGGGGTGGGGGCCAGATCGCCGAAAGTGGGCGTGTATAGATGCAAGGTTCTCTCAGGTTCGTGAGGCGAAGTGGTGCACTGTATCGTTCATGGATCGCGAAACTAGAAAGATCTTCCACTACAAAAACGCCAAAAGGGAGAGGGACGGACGGAACTCAGTGGGGCTCGAGAAGATTGCTTTTGACGCTGGTATGGATGAGCTTGCTGCAAGTGGATTTCAGGTGGATGGAATTGTCACGGACGAAGGCAACTGTTACAAAAGTGCGGCGCGGGACAGGGGCTTGATGCATCAGATGGACTGGTGGCATAAGTGTGGTGGCTACATACGGGGTTTTAGGACAGAGGTACAGGATGCAACGAGGAAAGTGGGATCTGTAGTGGGGGCCAAATGTTGTGAAGATGTGTACGTTATCACAGTAGATAATCTATTGGCCTGGTTAAATGACAACTCCAGCGAGCGCTTTCATAAGGGGATGGGGAAGAAGAAGCTTGTACAGGATGTGTGCGCTATGCGTGGAATAGCATTCAAGGACATGGACCCTGCAGATGCCAAGTGGTTGCATCTTGAGCTACAACAAGTGCTGCTGCCTCGTGTTAGTCCCGATGCACAACCGATCGACATAGAAGTGCACAGGGGGTCTATCCCAGACTCAGTGAGTCGAGGTCGTTCGAGCGGTGGTGAGGCTGTTCATTTTGCTGGGACAGAGGAGGTTCTTCCAGACGGGGCAGTCGCAGTCGATATACAATGGCCAGATGTGGAGGAGCTGTGGAGTTACGATGCACACCCAGAATATGGGATACGCCCTGCCTCGCATGCATCATTGGTACTTGTACAGGCGTGGAACGGGGTTGAAGGCATCGACACAGAAGTCGCAGATGACGATCAAGGTAATGATGCTCCTGTGTGTGGACTATATCACTTCTCCCAACCCGCCCCCTTTTTATCCCCCCTTTTGCTACTCCACATCTCATGCCCCGGAACACTTTTTTTATCCCCCTTTTGCTATTCATTTTCAGTGCTCCCAATTCTCATTCCCCTTATTCCATCACAATCTACCTGACACCATTGTTTGGGACAGCCCTTCAGACTCTCACTTACTGTTTTGCAAACATGCCTCATCTCTTTTTGTGTAAACCCCTGCTACTATGCCGTGACGCAGGGCATGCTCTGTTTCTGTTCTACCCACACTTCTGTGAGCAGGTCAGCAAGCGAGGGCCCTGTCAGAGGTGTTGCCCATCAGTGCGAGTGGAGCCACACCCTCGACATCCAGGGTTGGCGAGGGTGTCAACGTGGAGCCAGCCGCGACAGTGGGGAGCCGTAGGAGGTGGGGACGGCGTGCTCCACGATCACAATTACGGCAAGAGGAGGGTGGCGGGAGCAATGGTGATGGTGAGGTACAGGCGAGAGGGAAGGGGGTTAGTGTTGTCGACAGACTTGCCGTGCACTTTTATCATTGCATGGTGCGCAGCGGGGTGATGGCTAAAGAGGGAACACACGGTCGCCTGAGCATGTGTCAGCTGAGTTATGTCTTGCAGCAGACCACTTTGCAGGAGATCATTCTCGATGCGACAGAGGCGGGTCATGTGCACCGAGGTGTGTGACCGAGAATTGGGGTGCGGAGTCTGCTGTATATTTGCCAAACTCTCCGACACATCTAGCCGTGCGCGCGTGGATGGCGAGACACTGGTGTCCATCCAAGGTTGCCTGCATAGTCGAGGGCGCAACCACCTCAATGAATGAGTCGTTTCATTCGCTCATAATCAAATACGCACCAAAACGCATCCGATTCGACGTGAGTTATGAGCCGCGAGTTGCCATGGCTGCTCTCCATTGGAACCACACTATGGATCGTATTGTGCGTGCATATATCATCCGTGCGCGGCGTACTACACGAATAAGACGTGGACGGAGGGATCGAGTGCTTGGTCCTATGGACTGGAGTTGGGTTGACAGCATCCTGAGAGAGTGGAGGCGCCCCTGGACAGAATCTCCCGAACCTGATGAGGAGTCCGCCGACATTGGTGGGACTCCAGCGACTCGGGAGATGGACGGGGCGGCACCAGCTGTTGTGGCCGAGGCATCCGCTGGTCCTACACCCAACACAACAAGCACCAACATTCGCGGTCCTCGCCGCAATTTATTCGGTGAGCATAATATGTGCGGGACAAATGAGTACAAGTCATTTCCATTACCTGCCTTGCTAATCTTTTGTGACAAATGCGCAATTCTCATTACTGTGTACCTTGTGGCTCATCTGTCACATACGCATTCTAATACACAAGGTGACTTGACCAACACACGCTGAGGTTTGATGGCAACGGCGGATGATCACAAGATGCGCACCCATTGTTGTAGTACGTGGTACTAACGGGCTTTTACCCTGCCGCCCTCACCTACGCATTATCCTAAACCTATGTCCACCCCTCGACCTGTGCTTATCTCTTCCCCTGCTATCTCCCTCACCTTTGCACACTGTCTTCCCCCCGCCTCTCTCTCTTCCCCCATCTCACTCTCTTACCCCTGCACCTTGAGTTTCGGATTGCAGCCCTGCTCCCCTATACCCCTCATATTTTCCCCAGCCTCCCCTACCCTCGACTCCACCTTTCCCTTACGTTACCTCAAGCCCCCTTGCTTTATCTGGCTTACTCCCGTTTCCCAAAACTGTGTTCCCACACCCTTCCGATTTCGTGTCGTAATTCCGCCCTTCCAACATCTTGTTCCGATGTTCTCATTGCCAACCCCTCTTATCAACCGCAGTTACAGGCTTGTATGACCAAGCCATTTATGTCTATTGACCGTGGACGGACGTGCAAATACAGACAGAATGGCTTGGTCATACAGTGTGTGAGCCCTTCACTGTGCACCCAGTGTGTGAGCCATTCACTGTGCACCCATTGTGTAAGTATGTGTACCTGTCTGTGGTGCGAGCATTGTGAACAGTGTGGGCAAACTTCCACCAGGTGGGCGTTCAGTGTGCGCCGACTATACGGGTGTTGCTTGCGGGCATTGTGAGCAATGTATGCACCAGGTGAGTCAACTCCGCAGCCATCGCCATCGCCGCATCCTCGAGCGGACAACAACTGTCCATTTTCATATCTCTACACCTCCCTCACTTCCCCTCCCCGCTCTTCCCTCTAGTCGTAGTACTCATGTCCGGCCCCCAGTCAGGTTGCTGCGAGCAAACAACAACTGCCCGCTCTAGAGGCACTACCAGTGGGCTTACTGCACCTCTTGCCCTCTCTTCTCTCCTCCTCTCCTCCTATCTCCTACCCCTCCACCTCTTCCCCACTGCAGAACTCACTCCAGCCACCGGTGGGCTTGCTGAGAGCGGACAACAATTGCCCACCCTAGAGGCAGGACTTACGAGAGGTGCGTTGGTGCGCTTCTTCTTGCCCTTGCTACTCCTCCTTTCCTTACGAGAGGTGCGTGCATGACCCTTGAGTACTCACGTCAAGGCGTGTTCGAAGAAACATGTGGGGTTTGCTGCGGGCGGACAATTTACTCCGCTGCTACATCTGTCGCCCATCTCCTTGTAACTGTTCCCCAGTTCACCTTGATTTCTTGGCCTCCCCCTTGGCGACCTTCTCCGAAATTGACACGTTTTTCCTCCCCCGCTGCTCCTCCGTACGGCATCGTGGAGGCAGTCAAAGCTCCGGGCTTACAGTGCGTAGCTGGCTCTACTTCCAACAACACCCTCTTCCACTCTGACATCTCAAAACCCGCCTCCTATCTCTCTTCCAGCCTCGGTGCTCTGCCTCCCCCTCCCGTCGCCCTAAACTCTAAGCTTGCTCAGTTTCTTCCTGATCACGGCAATTTCCCCCTGCTCACTGTGCACCCCCCTTTGCTCTGCTCTCATTCGCTACAGCCCTACTCACAAACTTCCCCCAAGTTCACTATCTTACCCCTATTCGCTCTCTTTATCCCTGCGCTCTCCCATCCCCCTTTCTCCTGCCCACCCTACTCACTCCGTTACCCCCAGCGCACTCTCTCCCACTTGCTTACCTCTCTGACCACAAAGTTATGTTTCTCCCCTGCAATTCTGCTTCTCCTATCCCCCCACTTCATCCTCCCCCATGTTCCCATCTATTCCTTCAGGTCTCACGCTTTATATCGCATGCTTCCATTCACTACATTCCCGCAGTCTCACACGGTGATAGCGAAAGAAATCTTCCCTTCCCCCTTTTTGTTCATATTGTTTTCCGTGTTGATCCTTCACTCATATTCCACCGCAGTTACAGGCTTGTATGACCAAGCCATTTACACTGTCTATTGACGTAGTACGGGCACTTATAGCCCAGACAATATGGCTTGGTCATTCAATTCCTCCACGTGCTTGCCAGCCGCGAAGTGTGTATATCCGCGTGACTATGTAACGAGCCCATTCATTCCTTTCTCGGGGTGTGTCCATGAACTAATGTTCTCAACCTAGAATATTAATGTATATGATGTGTTGCCTCTCATTCCAATGAAAATTAGTATGACAATGGTATTGTGCGTTATGTTCTGTGCCATCAAGACTCGTTTTTTACGATGCAAGCTTACAACCCTACGCCTTCGGCTTATTCGCGATACCCATTGGGTTCAATCAAGCGGTATTGCGAGAGGGACAACACACGAGCCAAGCGGGTATTCATGTTAGTGCGAAGATGAGGGAAGATGCTAGTGTCATATAACGATGGTCCACGAACGGATGTCTTGAACTCGAGTTGTGGCACAGCCACCTGGTGGTGAATGAGATGAGACAGAAAGAGGGGAACAAAGGATATGAGAAGGGGGAGGAGGGGTGTGTGCAAAGCGGATCACAGCACAGCACCGTAGAGCCACAGAGCAGTGGTGCGCAGAGAACAGCCCCACACAACAGAGCACATGACAGCGGTGTGCCTCACCTTGTGACCCCCGTCTGCAGCCATACCCGCTCGCCACAGCAGCAGCTGTGGCGGGCTATTCTGGACGCAGCTGCAGAACGGGGTGTGGGGGCGTGAGGGATGAAACAAGGGAAATATTTGGGGGAAAATAGGAGTGGGGGTATGGGGGAGACAAGCGGGAGGCAGAGATGGGGTGGGGCGGAGAGGGGGTGGGGTAGAGATGGGTGGGGCGGAATGGGGGGATTTTGAGGGGTGGGGTGGAATGGGGAACCCTTGAGATGGGGTGGGGCGGAATGGGGCACTCTTGAGATGGGGTGCAGCGGAATGGGGTGGGGCATCTGATGGGGTGAGGAGGAGATGGAGTGAGACGGAGATGGGGGGAGGCATCTGATGGGGTGTGGAGGAGATGGGGTGAGGAGGAGATGGGGTGTGGAGGAGATGGGGTGAGGAGGAGATGGGGTGAGGAGGAGATGGGGTGAGAAGGAGATGGAGTGAGGAGGAGATGGGGTGAGGAGGAGACGGTGTGTGGAGGATATGGGGTGAGGAGGAGATGGGGTGAGGAGGAGATGGGGTGTGGAGGAGATGGGGTGAGGAGGAGATGGGGTGTGGAGGAGATGGGGTGAGGAGGAGATGGGGTGAGGAGGAGATGGGGTGAGAAGGAGATGGAGTGAGGAGGAGATGGGGTGAGGAGGAGACGGTGTGTGGAGGATATGGGGTGAGGAGGAGATGGGGTGAGAAGGAGATGGGGTGTGGAGGGGATGGGGTGAGGAGGAGATGGGGTGTGGAAGAGATGGGGTGAGGAGGAGATGGAGTGAGTAGGAGATGGGGTGTGGAGGAGATGGGGTGAGGAGGAGATGGGGTGTGGAGGAGATGGGGTGAGGAGGAGATGGAGTGAGTAGGAGATGGGGTGTGGAGGAGATGGGGTGTGGACAGGGTGGGGTGAGGGTATAGGACAGGGCGGAGTGGGTTGGGGCGGGGATGGGGAGATGGGGTGAGGAGGACATGGGGTGAGGAGGAGATGGGGTGAGGAGGGGATGGCATGTGGAGGGGATGGGGTGTGGAGGAGACGGGGTGTGGACATGGTGGGGTGAGGGTATAGGACAGGGCGGGGTGAGGGGCTAGGACAGGACGGGAGGGGATTGAGCGTGCTCGTTCAAGGGGAGTGCACATCAGCGACGAAAGGGACGTAGCGTGGTTGACGGGAGGGAAGGAGGGCGGGCAATGGGAAGAGAGTGAGCGCGGGCAGGCGGAAGCAAGAAGGGAGGGAGTGATGAAGGATGTGAGGGAGGGCGGAAGGGGGGAATGCAGGAAGGGAGGGAGTGATGAAGGATGTGAGGGAGGGCGGAAGGGGGGAATGCAGGAAGGGAGGGAGTGATGAAGGATGTGAGGGAGGGCGGAAGGGGGGAATGCAGGAAGGGAGGGAGTGATGGAGGGAGGAAATGGGGTTGGGTGGACAGGGGGAAGGGATCCCTGCAGCACCACGTAGGCCTCTGTTGCGCGACTCTGCCCGCCGCCATCCGCCCACAGCGCCCCAAGCAGCTCCCCGGTGAACGCAAGGCCGAGGACAGTGTGGGAAAGACCTGAAGGGGAGGGGGAGAGAATCGGATGGGGGAAGGACGGTTGGGGAGACGATCAGATGGGGAGAGGACGGATGGGGAGAGGACGGATGGGGAGAGGACGGATGGGGAGAGGACGGATGGGGAGAGGACGGATGGGGAGAGGACGGATGGGGAGAGGACGGATGGGGAGAGGACGGATGGGGAGAGGACGGATGGGGAGAGGAGGGACGGGGAGAGGAGGGATGGTATGAGGACGGATAGGGAGAGGAGGGACGGGGAGAGGAGGGATGGTATGAGGACGGATAGGGAGAGGAGGGATGGTATGAGGACGGATGGGGAGAGGGAGAGGAAGACCATAGAAGTGATGGACGGGGAGGTGAGGGATGGGGAGATGTGGGATGGCGTGACGATGGACGGGGAGGTGAGGGATGGGGAGATGTGGGATGGCGTGACGATGGACGGGGAGGTGAGGGATGGGGAGATGTGGGATGGCGTGACGATGGACGGGGAGGTGAGGGATGGGGAGATGTGGGATGGCGTGACGATGGACGGGGAGGTGAGGGATGGGGAGATGTGGGATGGCGTGACGATGGACGGGGAGGTGAGGGATGGGGAGATGTGGGATGGCGTGACGATGGACGGGGAGGTGAGGGATGGGGAGATGTGGGATGGCGTGACGATGGACGGGGAGGTGAGGGATGGGGAGATGTGGGATGGCGTGACGATGGACGGGGAGGTGAGGGATGGGGAGATGTGGGATGGCGTGACGATGGACGGGGAGGTGAGGGATGGGGAGATGTGGGATGGCGTGACGATGGACGGGGAGGTGAGGGATGGGGAGATGTGGGATGGCGTGACGATGGACGGGGAGGTGAGGGATGGGGAGATGTGGGATGGCGTGACGATGGACGGGGAGGTGAGGGATGGGGAGATGTGGGATGGCGTGACGATGGACGGGGAGGTGAGGGATGGGGAGATGTGGGATGGCGTGACGATGGACGGGGAGGTGAGGGATGGGGAGATGTGGGATGGCGTGACGATGGACGGGGAGGTGAGGGATGGGGAGATGTGGGATGGCGTGACGATGGACGGGGAGGTGAGGGATGGGGAGATGTGGGATGGCGTGACGATGGACGGGGAGGTGAGGGATGGGGAGATGTGGGATGGCGTGACGATGGACGGGGAGGTGAGGGATGGGGAGATGTGGGATGGCGTGACGATGGACGGGGAGGTGAGGGATGGGGAGATGTGGGATGGCGTGACGATGGACGGGGAGGTGAGGGATGGGGAGATGTGGGATGGCGTGACGATGGACGGGGAGGTGAGGGATGGGGAGATGTGGGATGGCGTGACGATGGACGGGGAGGTGAGGGATGGGGAGATGTGGGATGGCGTGACGATGGACGGGGAGGTGAGGGATGGGGAGATGTGGGATGGCGTGACGATGGACGGGGAGGTGAGGGATGGGGAGATGTGGGATGGCGTGACGATGGACGGGGAGGTGAGGGATGGGGAGATGTGGGATGGCGTGACGATGGACGGGGAGGGAGGGGAGGGAGCGTGCGCGTCGGAGGGGAGGGAAGCGTGCGCGTCGGAGGGGAGGGAGCGTGCGCGTCGGAGGGGAGGGAGCGTGCGCAGTACGGAGGGGAGGGAGCGTGCGCGTCGGAGGGGAGGGAGCGTGCGCGTCGGAGGGGAGGGAGCGTGCGCGTCGGAGGGGAGGGAGCGTGCGCGTCGGAGGGGAGGGAGCCGTGCGCGTCGGAGGGGAGGGAGCGTGCGCGTCGGAGGGGAGGGAGCGTGCGCGTCGGAGGGGAGGGAGCGTGCGCGTCGGAGGGAGGGAGCGTGCGCGTCGGAGGGGAGGGAGCGTGCGCGTCGGAGGGGAGGGAGCGTGCGCGTCGGAGGGGAGGGAGCGTGCGCGTCGGAGGGGAGGGAGCGTGCGCGTCGGAGGGGAGGGAGCGTGCGCGTCGGAGGGGAGGGAGCGTGCGCGTCGGAGGGGAGGGAGCGTGCGCGTCGGAGGGGAGGGAGCGTGCGCGTCGGAGGGGAGGGAGCGTGCGCGTCGGAGGGGAGGGAGCGTGCGCGTCGGAGGGGAGGGAGCGTGCGCGTCGGAGGGGAGGGAGCGTGCGCGTCGGAGGGGAGGGAGCGTGCGCGTCGGAGGGGAGGGGAGCGTGCGCGTTCGGAGGGGAGGGAGCGTGCGCGTCGGAGGGGAGGGAGCGTGCGCGTCGGAGGGGAGGGAGCGTGCGCGTCGGAGGGGAGGGAGCGTGCGCGTCGGAGGGGAGGGAGCGTGCGCGTCGGAGGGGAGGGAGCGTGCGCGTCGGAGGGGAGGGAGCGTGCGCGTCGGAGGGGAGGGAGCGTGCGCGTCGGAGGGGAGGGAGCGTGCGCGTCGGAGGGGAGGGAGCGTGCGCGTCGGAGGGGAGGGAGCGTGCGCGTCGGAGGGGAGTACGTGTGTGCGATGGGGGTCAAGCAGCCACTGCCGCTCTCCACAGGGAGGAACAGGGCAGAGCGTGGGGGGAAGGAGGGCTGAGGGTGGGGGGAAGGAGGGCTGAGGGTGGGGGGAAGGAGGGCAGAGGGTGGGGGGAAGGAGGGCTGAGGGTGGGGGGAAGGAGGGCAGAGGGTGGGGGGAAGGAGGGCTGAGGGTGGGGGGAAGGAGGGCTGAGGGTGGGGGGAAGGAGGGCAGAGGGTGGGGGGAAGGAGGGCTGAGGGTGGGGGGATGTATGGCGTGAGGGTGGGGGGAAGGAGGGCGTGAGGGTGGGGGGAAGGAGGGTAGAGGGTGGGGGGAAGTCGGGCTGAGGGTGGGGGGAAGGAGGCGTGAGGGTGGGGGGAAGGAGGGCAGAGGGTGGGGGGAAGGAGGGCAGAGGGTGGGGGGAAGGAGGGCTGAGGGAGGGGGGAAGGAGGGCTGAGGGTGTGGGGAAGGAGCGCTGAGGGTGGGGAAGGAGGCGTGAGGGTGGGGGGAAGGAGGGCTGAGGGTGGGGGGAAGGAGGGCTGAGGGTGGGGGGAAGGACGGCTGAGGGTGGGGGGAAGGAGGGCTGAGGGTGGGGGGAAGGAGGGCTGAGGGTGGGGGGAAGGAGGGCTGAGGGTGGGGGGAAGGAGGCGACGGACGGGGAGATGAGCGTCGTTTAGCCGAGCACCTCATCTCGCGTAGCTCTGCACAGCAGTGCAGAATAGAACAACGCACTGCACAGCACTGCAGAGCAGAACAGAGCACACAACCGCACAGCAGAGCATGTTGTGTTGTGGCTCACCTGTAGCACGAGCACAGCAGCAGCTGAAGCACGCGCTTCCGGTTGTCCCTGTTGGGCGGAGGGTGTGGGGGCGGGAAGGGGAGAAACATGGGAGAGGGGGCGGGAGAAGAATAGGATCGAGGGCGCGGGGGAAATAAGGGAGAGGGCGATCGGGAGAGGAAACGGGGAACGTGTTGAGACGGAATGGGGTGAGGCGGAGAGAGGTGAGGAGGAGATGGGGTGGGGCGGACTGAGGTGGGGCGGAATGGGGTGGGGCGGAATGGGGTGGGTCGGAAATGGTGCCACTCACGGTGTCGCAGCGAGGGATGGGGTGATGAGGGATGGGAAAATAAAGGATGAGGACATGAGGGATGAGGAGGTGAGGAATGAGGAGGTGAGGGATGGGGAGTGCGCACGGGCGGCGGAAGGGAGTGCGCATGGGCGGCGGAAGGGAGTGCGCACGGGCGGCGGAAGGGAGTGCGCATGGGCGGCGGAAGGGGGTGCGCATGGGCTCCGGAAGGGATTGCGTGTGGGCGACGGAAGGGAGTACGTGTGGGCGACGGAAGGGAGTGCGTGTGGGCGACGGAAGGGAGTGCGTGTGGGCGACGGAAGGGAGTGCGCATAGGCAACGGAAGGGAGTGCGCATAGGCGACGGAAGGGAGTGCAGTTAGGCGACGGGAGGGAGTGCGCATAGGCGACGGAAGGGAGTGGGCATGGGCTTCGGACGGGAGAGCGCATGGGCGACGGAAGGGAGTGCGTATGGGCGACCACGTGCGGGTGGGCGACGAAAATGGAGCTTATCGTGCGGGATAGAGGGGAGTGAGGTGGGCGACGGGAAGAGGGTGAGCGTGGGCAACGGAGAGGAGTGAGGAGGGGCGTAAGAGGCGTTGCGCGGAGGCGAAGGGAGGGGAGGGAGCGTGATCGGGACGGGAGGGAGCGCTCATACTCCTTTGAGGGGTGTGCGCGAAGGCGTCTTTTGAGGGGAGTGCGCAAATGCGTCGGGAGGGGAGTGCGCTATGGCGGTGGAGGGAAGTGTGCGACGGCGACGGGTCACGTGGGCGACGGAGGGGCATGAACCCGCGCGACGGCGGCGATGAGAACGCCACAAAGTATGTGTAACGCGTCATGCTCTAATCTGGACAGAGCCGGGCGCGGCTAGGCACAACCGCGACATCGATGCGCCTGGCGATAGGGAAGTGAAACCGCGGACGACGATGGGCATGTGCACGTAAATGGTTACTGCTCTTCCCGTGCCGTGAGAACGCGATGTAAGGCGTGCGGAAAGCAAAGGCGACTCAGCTCGTCGGAATGGAGGCGTTGTACCAGAGCGTATTGCGGAACCCTAAACTGACGTGGAAGTCAGCGCGCTAACTCTCTTCTAAGCTATGGCTTTCCCAAGTTTGGCCCTGAACTCTGTGTTTTTTGTCGACCTGAATTACAGATTTTGAGCTTGGTGTGCACACCTCAGCCAAGAGTGGTGGTGAGACCCCTGCGATCCTTCCCTACGCACCCTGCGACTTTCCTCACGTTTTGAAGGTGAGACCTGGTAACCACCCTGGTTCGGGAGGAGGGGTGTTAAAGCCCGAGGTCAGCATGGTTTTTGGGAAAGTCGAATAATGGCTTTAACATGGTTGGCGAAAGCCAAAAAACGTAGCGAGAGCCAAACCAGCTAACGAGCAAACCTTGAATTCGTCACTCAACTGTGCGACAGGCTTCTCCAAGAATATGTGAAGAGAAGCCTCGAGCCCCTGAAAATGCCACACTGAAAGGCGAAATTGTGAGAGGCCCACTCTCGAGAAGGGGAATCCCCTAGCGATGCAGGGCGACAACGGCTGAGACGCTCGCGACTTGGGTTTAGGGCATCGCAGCCAATCAGCCCTCTAGAAATGCATCTGTGCAATCGAATCGCAGGGCGCGACGAGAGCAGAAAAACGAAAACGCAGGGTGTTGCGCTCGGTGTAAATGGATTGGCGCGATCACATGTGGTAGGTAGAAACAGGGAACCAGCCGCAAATGCGACACGATAGCTCCAGCCACGTAATGCTACGTGCCTGATGGTGTTCAGGAGGAACTGGTAGGTCCCTCGACTACCAGCAATGCTTGTCCTTCGGCAGGTGATACAACAAGAAAGCTAAGCGTGCACGTGACACCGCGGCGCAGGAGAAGTCAACGTAATTCCCAAACTAATGTAACGTTTAGCCTGAACGTGGCACGTACGGAAAGCACGAAGGATGCCGGTTGTTGAGTTTGAGAGAGAAGCATCAGTGGGAGGCGTACTCACATGGCAGCAAGGTGTCGAGTGGAAAGGCCTACTCTCTCTCTCTACGATCTCAAAGAAAACGTAGGGGAAGAGGGAGTATCTGTGAGGAAAACATTCAGTGGAACTTACGAACGCGATTGAATACCCCAACGCCTCCAACTACGACGATAGTGCGCTGGACCAAATCGACAATACGCATGCGATTGCGGTAGGAGGGAGGTAACGGCGAGCGCCAAGGAGAAGACTAAGAGAGGAGCTCAGATTTATAGGGCGACGAGCTGCACTACGAGCGTGACGCAATTAGAATCGGTAAGAGGGTAGAAACGGGAAAATAGATTACTACAGTCACCAGCTCAAGCGTCTTCATTGACACGACGTGTCTTGAGATTCCGCAGCACAAACAGCTCTCGTTGCAATACCCCTCGTGTTTCACTGCGGAGTTTCCGGTCCACCGATTCGGCACTGACAAAACTCAGACCGATACATGTGCAGTAACGGGCATAACGTAAACTGCAACAAAGGAAACTGCAAGTCGCGACTGAGCTCCTACTGTCGCAGTAACATGCTTTAAAGCATCTATAGTCACACCATCCCCATCCCTGCTTCCCCGTGTCCCTTTCCCTACTTCCCCGTGTCCCCTTCCCTACTTCCCCATGTCCCCTTCCCTGCTTCCCCGTGTCCCCTTCCCTACTTCCCCATGTCCCCTTCCCTGCTTCCCCATGTCCCTTTCCCTGCTCATCGCGCGGCCCTTTCCCTGCTTCCCCATGTCCCCTTCCCTGCTTCCCCCCATCCCCTTCCCTGCTTCTCCATGTCCCTTTCCTTGCTTCCACGTGTCCCCTTCCCTGCTTCCCCCCACCCTTTACATGCTTCCCCCCATCACCTTCCCTGCTTCCCCATGTCCCATTCCCTGCTTCCGCATGTCCCCGTCCCTGCTTCCCCCCACGCCCTCCCCTGCTTCCCCATGTCCCTTTCCCTGCTTCCCCCCATCCCCTTCCCAGCTTCCCCGTGTCCCCTTCCCTGCTTCCCCATGTCCCTTTCCCTACTTCCCCATGTCCCCTTCCCTGCTTCCCCCCATCCCCTTCCCTTCTTCCCCCCATCCCCTTCCCTGCTTCTCCATGTCCCCTTCCCTGCTTCCCAGTGTCCCTTTCCCTGCTTCCCTTCATCCCCGCATCCCTTTACATGCTTCCCCCCATCCTCTTCCCTTCTTCCCCCCATCCCCTTCCCTGCTTCCCCATGTCCCTTTCCTTGCTTCCCCATGTCCCTTTCCTTGCTTCCCCATGTCCCTTTCCTTGCTTCCCCGTGTCCCTTTCCCTGCTTCCCCCCATCCCCTTCCCTGCTTCCCCCCATCCCTTTACATGCTTCCCCATGTCCCTTTCCCTGCTTCCCCATGTCCCCTTCCCTACTTCCGCATGTCCCCGTCCCTGCTCCCCCCCACGCCCTCCCCTGGTTCCCCATGTCCCTTTCCCAGCTTCCCCCCATCCCCTTCCCTGCTTCCCCACGTCCCTTTCCTTGCTTCCCCATGTCCCTTTCCTTGCTTCCCCATGTCCCTTTCCATGCTGCCTTTGTAGATAGCTAGTCTTTCAGCACACCCCACCTATCTGCAGCCAGTGTTGCTTCAGCCTGGGCACTTCTCACACCCCATCCGCTTGCACATCATTGCAATTTATTGCCACCTTTGCTTTGCTGCTGTTGTTTGGCTTTTAGTGCCTCACTGTTGCCGCAGGCACGGCTGCGCGTGGTGATGCTGCCTTTGCACTTCATGTGTCTTTCATCCCTAACCCGTTTTCCAGCTACTAGCAGGACGTGTTGCAGGGGATCGTTGCACGGCTGAGTTTTTATGTCATCAATCCATCTGGGTGGTCATAAGGGCAGGACACACAACGCACCACTCGCAGGGTGGGTCAATTTTCATCCAGCCCTCCCTGATTTCTCAGCTAGTGCGGGTTGCCTCCAAGCTGCTGATGCTCACGAATGCATATCTTGCTAGTGCCACATGTATAGCAGTATCTGGTGCAACTGCCTTTGCGGATCATCAAGGTTTAGTGTTGCTCTGTTGTGGAGCTGTTGGCTTCATACTCTGTTTTGCAGTCATCCATCCATATCGTAATGTCCTGCACAACAGCACATGGCGCCGCATGCATAGCAGCACTTGGTGTTGTTGTCTTTGCGCTACTTGTCCTTGATCTCCCCACAGGCCGTTTTGCTTCAGCCGTCGCGCTACACCCGAGTGGGAATCATCCATTTCTCTGGGCAGCCACTAGAACAACAGCACATCGCAACAGTCCCAGGCAGGTCAGTCGTCGAGAATGTCTTGTGCTGCTGCCAATGCAGATGAGCTCGTTCTTGTTCGTCAATGTCCGGTGGCTCATGCATTGCGGTAATTGGCTCTGGTTGCCAATGTGCTACTGCTATTCGAGTTTGCATGCCTGTTCGGACTTGATGCTACAGTCGTGGCAGAAAGCTTGTCTATCATCGGTCGATATGCCTACCACTGGAAGGACAGCACAACGCACCATCGCCTTGGCATGTCAGTAACTACAAAGCTATCTGCAGCACTAGCTCCTGTTGCCTAGCACATCGCGGGTGTGCTGTGGCTGCAGCCACAGCAACATGCGTTACTTGTGCATCGTGTCTCTCCTACCACGTCACTGCTGTTATAACCATGGCATGTATCGGGTTTGCTGCAAAGGGCACAGCCCTAGTCATCTCTTCTGCATCTATCACAGCATGCGTTCTCACCCTTGCGAGCATAGCAGCACCTAGTGTTGCAGCCTTGCATTTCAATTGTCTTACATCCCTTTCCCATGGGAGCAGCTTGTTGACAGGCCGTGCTGCTGCAGCCGTTGCACTGCTGAGTCTTGAAGACATCCAATCATCTTGGCGTCGTCAATAACAACAACTCATCGCTCTGCTGCCTTGGCAGGTCAGTCCTCATCCAACCATCCCATGCATGGGGATGGGTGCACAGCAGCGCGCAGTCCTATGTCATTTGCACAGCAGTTGTTTCTCAAACACCACTGTCTAGTACTAGGGGCACATCATCACATGTTCCCGCTGTCGGTGTGCGGGGTGCAGTGTGGGTGACCATGCCTCGCTGGTGCCGCAGCGTAAGCAGCACTTGGTGTTCTAGCATTTGCATTTCACTTGGACTCATTCCTTTCCCACTTTCCAGTTTTTCTGGCAAGCGTCCGGCTGTCTTCGAATTTTACCTCTCTTTCATTCCTTTGCCATTTGCCAGTTATCCAAAGGACGCTTTGCAAGTTGTACTGCTGAACTTGTCTGCCATCCTTTCATCTGGGCGGCGGCGCGAACGGCAGCACATCGCACTGCAACCTTGGCAGGTCCGTGCTCATCTAACCATCCCTCACTAGTGCCTCATGCTCAACATTTTCGAGGCGCTGAGTCATTTGCATGGTAGTTGTAACCCAAACATTCTGTCTGTTACTAGGGGCACATCACCACTTGTCCCCGTCAGCCATGGTCTTGGGTGCTGTGCGGGTTTGCATGCCTCGCTGGTGCCGCAGGCACAGCAGCGCCTGGTGTTGTTGCCTTTGCGTTTCACTTGCCCTATATTCCGCCGCCCATGTGGACATTGGTTGACAGGACGTGTTGCTGCAGCCATTGCACTGCTGGGTGGGACATCCATCCATCTAATCGGCCACAAGGGCAGGAGGCTCATCGCGCAGCAGCCTTGGCAGGTCAGTTGTCATAAACCCCTCCCTGATTTCTCAACTATTCTCAGCCAGAACAGCTCAGCGCACCGCAACCTTGGTAGGTCAGTTTTGATCTCGCCTTCCCTGATTTTACACCAAAGCTTTGATCTTGGCTCTGCCACCTTTGCACTGCTACGGTTTGTTAACCATTCATATCAAGTGCCCCAAAAGACGCAGCATTTGGGCCAGCTGCCTTATCACTTCATATGTCATTTTTCCCTCCCTGTTGGGCATCTAGATGCACGCCATCAATAACTATGCCCTCCTGCCCATCATCCCATGTGGGTATCTGTCTTACCCATCATGCGCATGCATACCCTCTTGGTTGTGTAGTTTTCCCCGTATGTCCAATGTGAGTAGATCGAGTGTACATCCAGCAGCGCAAGCATGCAAGGATGCCACGAAGGGCAGCGCGAACATATCAAAGCATATGCGGCCTCTGTTGTGCGTGCTACGTGTGGGATTGTCCGCTTTGTTCGCTGGCGATGCTATGACGACACCCGACGACGTTATTCATTTCTTAGCAGAGGCAGCACCAGATGCGACGCTTCGACTCATTACAGCTGGACTAGCCGCAGGTAAGTTGAAGAATGATTTTGTGTCAACACATATTAGTTGCACGCAGTTCATTTCAGTGAATACGAGTACTATGTGCACCCTCATATGTGAACTCAATGACACTCAGATCCCGAGTCAGAGGGCACGCAAACCGGCGCCATGGTCGAGATGCACCGTCAAGAGTATAGTCGCATTTTCAAAGGGCGCGTTCATGGAGGCTACGAGAAGATTACAGATCTACTGGGACGACCGAATCGAGTGCTGCCTGGCGTCAAGTTTTCCTTTCCGATTATGAAGCTTGATCATCGCGGTAGACCTAAACCTGTGAAGGGCCTATCTTGGGGAGGAGCAAGGCGTGGAAAGGCATTTTCCCTCCAACGCCAGGAAGGTAATGAGCTGGATGCATTTGTAAGATTCACCATTAGAAAGATGTCCACGCACTGTGCACATTCGGTCCTTCCAATTCCATTCCGCAAGTTGTAGCTTATCCCGTTGCTCTCGATATACTACAGGTGGGCTCGGGCTGAGGGCCGGCTCCGAGTCAGCAGACCGTGATGTGGTGGATGCTGTTACGGATCCACCTAATCCAATGGCGCAGGACACCGCCGACTGTCGAGCTGCCGATCAGGAGTGCATACAGTCTACCCCCGTCAACACACCGCTGCCAGCACCTCCAACTTTTTTTGTAATTCAGGCTGCGGGTTTTAAGTGCCCCTCCCTCTACTATCAAGGGTAAGACACCAACACCAACAAACCTTTCCATCAAATAAATGGTGAACAAGATTATCTATCATCAATGGAATTTTCCATCATGGTTCGCACTGCTCGAACATCGGAAAGCACATGTATAAATCAATCGTACCATGTACTTTTTACAAGCCTGTACCACATGCATACCGCATTCTCCTACACAATATCTAATCGATGTCCACCTACAAAAATAACATGAAGTAGATAAGTCCACGTTCTTGTGTCGTTGCGTATCATCCCTCAAGGCAGTTATTATGTAAAACAATTTGTTGAAAACTCACTGATTAGATAGCACTTGAGTTGTACTTACCTCTCTCTCTCTCTCTCTCTCTCTCTCTCTCTCTCTCTCTCTCTCTCTCTCTCTCTCTCTCTCTCTCTATCTCTCTCTCATACACACACACACACTCTCTCTCTCTCTCTCTCTCTCTCTCTCTCTCTCTCTCTCTCTCTCTCTCTCTCTCTCTCTCTCTCTCTCTCAAGCAGTCATGTATTGATATGGGTCACAAAGGTACAGGCATGGCAAATGGTGGTAACTAGCGTGACTAAACATGGAAGCAGCCAGGAAAACAGAACTAACAAACAAACCGAGCAAGCCTATCCAGCCAAAGCACACCGATCACCTAGCTCTCAGAGCAGCCCGGTCCACCGCAGCACAAGTCCCCGAGAACCCCACAATCCGCCTATCCCTTGTTCCTCCCATACCATAGGACCACCCCTTATCCTCCTTCACCCAGCAGCTTCCTCGCAACTTCCCTGAGACACCTTCCATTCTCCCTGCCCCCACTGAAGCCTCCCCAACTCTGTATTCCTCTTCCTGACCCTCACCACGCCCCTGTATCCCACCCCTGCTGCCCCCCAGCCGCCCCCCTGCCACCGAGTTCCTTCCTCCCCAGCCCTCTAAGCCGCTCTAGCTGGTGCCTGGCGCTCCTCATACTCGTCCACCTGCATCTGCCAGAGGTCTCCCAGGCGGGGCGCCCAAGGGTCCGCTGCAGCCTGAGGGAATGCCGCTTCCGCTGCCCGGTTAGACTTGGAGAGGAGGGATGTCGCCTGGCTACGTTGGAGCATCACCGACCACCGCTGCCTGTAGTGTGCGTTGAGGCGGGCAGCGGTGATGGTGAGGCGCCCCTGGCGGTACTTCTTCTTCGCCGCATAGGTAGCCAACATACGAAGGAACTGTTGAGTGTCAGTCGCCAACGCCCCGTAGGTCTCAACCGCCAAGCCGAAGAAGCCCACATAGCCAGGCCGCCCCTCGTAGAGCCTGTGCTTGGCCTGCGATGCCTCCTCCGCTGCCCACCCCGGCGGCTTCCGTGCCCTCACGTCCCTCCTCTGCAGGACCGGGTCAGTCACCGTCACGTCCGTCGCCCAAGTCTCTCCCGACTCTTGGTCCCTGACGGCTAGGTCAGCACGCTTGTTCTGGACTGGGGGAGAGAAAGCGGTCGTCTCGTGAAAGGTTTTGTACCCGGCTTCCTGTGCCATGCGAAGAGCAGCGAAGGTCAGTGCATTGTGGGTGCGCACAGCATCCCCACCATCGGCACACCGTAGCAGGTGGTTGGGCAGACTCTTGTCAGCTATCTTGGAGTTGGACCGCTTGCAGGGGCAGACCTCCGCCACTGGTAGTTCCATGCCAAGGCGCAAGCCTAGTGCCATGGAGAACTGACCAGGGGATATTGAGAGGTCAGCCCTCGTGGGCACTGCATGGAGCCAGTCGCCTGCTCCCACTCCTTTCAGGCTGATGAGCCGAATGGCATGGCCCCGGTCCACCCCCGGCCTATCAGTTACCGTATCTGCCAGTAGCTCCTCCGCTCGCGTGTGATTGATGGCTTTGGAGAGGCCCAGCTGCAGGTTGCCCATACCCCTGGGGTTCTCTCTGTAGCTGTGTAGCACCGCCGCGGCCTGTGCTGGGAGCCTTGCCTCGAGCGGGGACAGCGGGTTCACCCGGGGGGGAGGTGGGGTCCATGTCGGGGAAAGAAGATCCCCGGCCTTGTGGAGTAGGTAGTCCGGCGGCAGGTTCAGCTGCTGCAGTAGAAGGTGCGCTGCTGCAGTTGAGGCTAGGTACGCGGCTGGGGCCTCGGAAATGGGATCAATGATTCCCAGGCCCCCCAGCCGAACCAGGAGCGTTGCCTGGCGCCACAACAGGCTTTGCTCTAGCTCGCTCGGCGGGATCTGTAGCTTCGACGCCGTGAGACCTGCTCCCACCAATGCCTCGCTCCATTCCCTCCACTCCGTACGGGCCAGTGCCTCCGCCGGTGTTGTGCGAAGTAAGTACGAGATGCGGCGGGAAATGCTCCGCGATATCATGAGTAGGGCGTGCTGCGGATTGAGCTGGGCGACGAGGGGTAGCGGCGCAGCTGCCTCCGCAAGCGCCGCCCGGACCTGGTCGGTGCAGAAAGCATCGCTGCCAACCGGGCTGCCCAGCACCTTCAAACCACCTGGGTGGATGGGCAGGCCGTGTGGCAAGCCGTCCCCTCCTTCCTCCCGCACTGCGCACCATGCCGCAGACTTTGCCAGGTTGCACCGCAAACCACACGAAGCCAGCTCCGCAACGACCGTGTTGAAAGCGACGCACGCTGCTTCGCGGGGCCCCACGATTGTGATATCATCGGCATATGCCACTATTGCCACCTCCGGAACAGTTGAAGCCACGCCGAGCAGAATAGGCTGGATCGCCGCTGCAAAAAGAAGAGGTCCCAGCGGGTCCCCTTGGCGAACACCCCTGGAGCTTTGGATGTGCTCCACTTCCAGGCGGGGGTCCACTAAAAGCCGCGAGGGGCCATCGTAGAGGTTCCTAACGAGCGGGAGCAGCGGGTTGAGGCTGGACCACTGAAGGGCAGCTAGAAATGACGTGCGTTCTACGCTGTTGAAAGCGTTCTCCACATCCAGCTGTAGAGCTATGCGGGTCTCGTCATCTCGGAGTAGGGAGCGAACCGTGTGGATAATACACTCCGCGCCCCCAGGGACCGCTACGCCGAACTGAACGGGGAGGAAGAACTCTCGGATTTTCGGGCCTAAACTGTGTAGCGCCGCCTTTGCTACCACGCGTAGTAAAGCCTCGCCTATTGCGATCGGTCTAACTCCTCCCCCGGGCTTCTCTAATGCTATGAGCCGGGAGGGGAGTAGAAGGTCGCGGACTTTTTGGCTCTGGAAGGAACTGGCGAGGCGAGTAACCACGTTTGCGAGGAGCAGAAGGATCTCCTCACTCGCTAGGGCTGGGTCTCTCAGGTGTTCGAAACAGCAGCCTGAAGGCCCCGCTCCCACCCCATTCGGGCACTTTGCGAGAATTTCGCGAAGAGCTTCTAGTGGGATTCTGAGCTCAGAGTCAGTGATCCCGGTAACCCAGGCTGGCGTTGGGGTGCGAGAGGACGGGTGTTTCGCTCTCAGGGCAGTCAACGTCGCCAAATTCGGCTCGCGAGAGGGCTGGTGCGTAACGCTGCAACTGCTTTCGAAATGTTGCCTTTTTTAACCAAACCCTCTGCCCTCGTGCAGACCCCTTCGTCGTCATTTTGGTGTCTAAGCGGAGCACCTGTGTCGGGGATGGTGCAAGCAGCTTCGAACAACCCCTCCCAATCTCCTAACTGGAACTGATGCAGCCGAGCCTCAATTGATGCCCATCGGCTGCCAGTGACTGGCTCTGGTGGTGGACGCAGCGTCAGCCTCGGGAGGTATAGCAGGATCGCCCATGCACCTGGGCATTCTGGGTTTGATGACAGCCGTAGGAGTGGCGCGAGGAGGCACAGGCAGTATTTGTCTAACACCTGGGGTGGTAGCCGTCTGACTAGGAACGGTTGGTCCATTCGTTAGAGAAGGTCCATGGTCCACGTGCCAGCTATCTGCCAGATGGCGTCGTCCTCTGCCAGGGTGGCAGGCGATTTCACCTCGTTGGCGACCGCTGCGGCTGGGACCGACCCTCCCACAGCATGGGATGTTTCTCCGTCCGCTCCCTCCCCTGTGCCTCTCGCCCGATTCCGCCCTCTTCCCACTTCCTCCTCGTTGTCCAGCGAAACCTCTTCCGACTCTGGGCCTGGCTCCTCTCCACACATAAAATCTGGATTCCCGTTCTCCTCAGCAGAGCCGGCTTCGTCCCCATTGGCCGCAGCCTCTGAAACCTCTGGACGATCGTGACGTTCCCGCCATGGGCCTGTTCGGGGTTGGATCTCCGCTCCCCCCAGACGAGCGACACTCCCGCGCCCTCCCCCTCACCTTCCGCGGCCCATACCGCGTAAACCCCGGCCCGCCGCCGGCGCCGATCGAGCCGTGGCCTCCAGTCCCGCTCTCCCCGCCGGCATCCACGGCGTACGGCCTCCCCTTGGAGGGCCCCACGTGACAGTGCCCAGTCGAGCCGAGCGACGAGTGGCAACGCCTTCTGCGGCTGGGGCAGCAGGGCTTGGCGGTAAGTGGGCGCCTGCTCCATTGTCCTGGTTAGAGGCCGGCTGATCTGCTTGGTGGGTTGCTGTCGTCCCATGTGCTACCTCATTGAGTCCGGAGACCCCCCTTGCCTCTTGCGTATGCGGAGATGACGACCGACGCGCTCGCTCTGATGGCGGTTGCCCTTGCAGAAGCCAGCCCAGGAGGGGTCCCGGGGAGCCAGGACCCAGCCCTGCTCCGGGCCGTCTCGGCGCTGGCTGGGCGCGCAAATTCTTCTTCGACTTCGCCTGTGCCGCGCCGGAAGAATCGCCGTGTGCGTGTCCTGGAAACTCACCCTCCGCCTGGGCGCACTCCTGCCTGTTTGCGGCCACGGCATCAACAGGCGTTTCGGCGCACGCAGCGGCAGTCATCACGTCTTCCGCCGACGGGGCTCCGCCCTGCTCCCCAGTCGCAGCAGACATCGCCGCCGCCAGCACAGCCGCAGTTACAGGTGCCGGCGACGCGGACAACACCACCTCCGCGGTCTGTTCCATATCCGCGCCCGGACTTGGCTCCTCAGCCCCCGGCTGTGCAACCCGTGGGATGGCAGAGGGTGAAGTTGAGCCGCCGCCAAAGGCAGCGGCAGAAACGCCAGCAGGCACCAGGCCCGCCGCCGTCGCCGCTGCAGACGCAGCAGCAGCAGCAGCCTCAGGCACCATTGCAGCCGCCAAACTGGGTGCCGCAGCAGCCACCAGCTCAGTCCCCGATACGTCGTTTTCCCCTGCCCCTCCAGCCGCAGCCGCCACGTCCCTCAATGCCCCACGTTCCACCGTCACCTCGCCTGCATGCTCCAGGCCCTCAGCCAGTACCAGCCCCTCCATCGTTCCATCAGGGCCTGTATGGCAGCCCCCCCGTGCCGCGTCCGTGGGAGCCAGTGACGCCTCCCGCCCAGCCTCCTCCCCCTGCCGTGGTTCCTGGTGAGCCCCCAACTCGCGTCGAGCAGCGCGTGATGCACGTTGGGACGTGCATGACGCTCCTGTCGTACGTGCTCGACCAGCTTCACGTGACCCTGGTGCAGCAGGAGGTGCGGATCGAGGCGATGCAGCAGGCGGAGCAGTCAGCGGCAGTGGCGGTAGCGGAGGAGTTGCAGCATTACCTCCCCTTGATTGGATTTGTGCCCGGTTCCCCTGGGGCTGCCCTCGGGCCCGGCCCTGGGGCGTTGGCACGGCTTGCTGATTCTGCCCGGGAGGATCCGCTCGACCTTGTAGCAGCAGCCGCGTCCGTCCTACGCTGGCTGGACGGGAGGCTGTGTTGGATCCTCGTTGAGTAGCAGAAGCCTTCCCCTTGCTAGCCCCCTTAGCAGCAGGTCTGGGTTTGGGCTTCCCCATGGCGGTGTTCTCACGCCCGGGGGTGTTGTTGTAGCCGTTGTTGTTCTATGCCTGCATGTTGTACTGCCCCATGTTGATATGCCAGGAGTTTTTTGCCTTGTCGCCCCTCACGCGCGGCCGAAGGCCGCGCCGGCGAGCGGCGGCCGCCGAAGGTGGCCGGCGCGAGCCGCCGGTTTTTGGGGAGTAAACTGAACTCACCAGTGAAGAATGAGCTCAAAGGACTCCTCACTAGGTGCTTTATACTAGGAAAACAACCCTGGAAACGACTAAGGACTAAGGACTAGGCAGGAGGGGGAGAAAAAACGGCTAAGGACTAGCCCCAAGCCATCTCTCTCTCTCTCTCTCTCTCTCTCTCTCTCTCTCTCTCTCTCTCTCTCTCTCTCTCTCTCTCTCTCTCTCTCTCTCTCTCTCTCTCTCTCTCTCTCTCAAATGGTCCTTTGTATTAATTCAGCAGGGGGTACAGACATGCAATTTGACTCGTGGTTCCCTTATACCTTCCGACCCATCAACCCATCCCTCTGACCCTCCCCCCCCCCCCCCCTTAGTGCCCCTCTAACCCTCCGGCGTGTGGAGGATGTCCCCTAGGTGCAGCGGCCATGGGTCCGCTGCCATCTGGGGGTGCGCTGCCTCAATCCCCGCCCTGGCCTTGGTGTGCAGGGCATTCGCCTGGGAGCGCTGGAGGGCCACTGACCAGCGCTGGCTGAAGTGGCAGGCCATCTTCTTGGCCGATTTCGCCAGGGGGTTGGCCCTGAACCGGTTCCTAGCTGCTGCTGTGGCCAGCAGCTTCAGGAACGCCGTCGTGGGGGGCGCGTTTGCCCCATAGGTCTCGACGGCCAGGGCACAGAACACCACGTGTTCTGTGTGCCGGTAGTAATCCCTTTCCTTCCGCTTCTGAGCCTCCCTTGCAGCCCAGCCTGGGGGTTTGCGGGCTGTGGGGTCCCGGTTCTGCAGCACAGGGTCGGTGATAGTCGTGTCTGTGATCCAGGTCTCTCCACTGTCTGGGTCACGCACGATCACATCGGCCTTCTTCGGGTCATCCGGTGGTGAGTACATTGCATTCTCCAGGTATACCACCAGCTGCGCCTCCCTCGCCATTTTTGCCACGGCAAAGGCCAGCTGATTGTGTGTGCGCGTTCTGTCCGGGCCTGTGCTGCAGCGGAGTAGGTGGTTGGGTAGGCTGCAGTCGGCCACGAGCTCTCCACACTCGCACACAGTAGGTACGTTCTGTCGGATGCCCATGCGGAAGGCCAGGGCTGTTCGGAATTGCCCTGGTGAGAAGGAGAGGTCTGGGGTCAGGGGTAGGGCTTGCAGCCATGCTCCCGATCCCTCGCCTCTCAGGATGACGAGGCGGAGCGTGTGGCCCATCTCGGGGGCTGACCTGAGTGAGCGTGATTCCTCTGTCAGGGTGTCGGCCTTTGCCGCGTGCACTTCCTGAGAGAGGGCCCGCTGCAGCTGGTCTTGGGACGGGGTTTCTTGCTCCTCACGGAGGTATTGCAGCGCCAGCGGCGGCAGTCGTCCCTCCATGTCTTGGATGGTGACCGAGTGTGCCGCAGACGGCTGCAGGGCGTTGCTGTTGCTCCCTAGCGCCGCGGTTGCTGGCAGGTCGAGTGATCGGAGCAGGCGTAGTGCCTCTGTCGTTGAGGCCAGGTAGGCTGGTGCTGCTTCTGTTGTGGGATCCGTGAGGCCCAGTCCACCTAGGGCCACTGGGAGGGTTGCTTGGCGGATGAGAAAATTGAACTCGGCTTCGCGGCGGGGTGGTTGGATGCTGGCGGCAGTCAGGGCGGTGTTGAGCAGTTCGGCGCACCACGCGTGCCATTCCGAGAGAGGAAGGACATCCGCTGGGGTGGTGCGCAGCAAGTAGCCAATTCTGCGGCTGATGCAGCGGGACAGGAGCAGGAGGGCATGCTGTGGATGGATGGATGCTAGGGAGCCCAGGGGTGCCGCTGCGTCTGTCAGAGTACTGCGGACCAGGTCAGAGCAGAAGCGCTGTGACCCCACGGGACTTCCCAACACCCGTACCCCCTCGTGGGTGAGTGGGAGGCCCTCGGGGAGCTCGTCACCCTCAAGCGGCGTCGTGGACCACGCCGACGATTTTCTGAGGTTGCAGGTGAGGCCATCCTGGGCGAGCAGCGGCGTCAGCAACTTAAGCGCGCCGAGCGTTGCTGTCGCCGGTCCGATCATGGTGATGTCATCTGCGTATGCTAGGATCGTGACTTCTGGGTGCTCTGCTGCTGTGCGTCTGAGGTGCTGCTGGATTGATGCCGCGAACAGCAGGGGTCCGAGGGGGTCCCCTTGCCTCACCCCCCTTCCGCTGGTAAGTGCCGTCGTGCTCAAGCGGGGATCGGTCAGCAACTGAGAAGGCGTTGCGTAGGAGGAGCGGGTGAAAGGTATGAGCGGTGCTAGCGGGGTGTTGGCGAGTGCGTTGAAGAACGCTTTCCTCTCTACGGAGTTGAAAGCGTTTTCAATGTCGAGTTGGAGGACTAGGCTGGAAGGTTGTGAAGTGGTGAGGTCTCTGACTGCATGTATAACGAACTCAGCTCTGCCTGGGACTGCCACACCGAATTGTTGGGGTAAGAAAAATCGCCTTGTTTCTCCTTGCAGTTCCGAGAGTGCCACCTTTGCTGCCAACCGGAGTAGGGATTCCCCTATTGCGATAGGGCGTACCCCCCCCCCTGGTTTCGCGAAGGCGATGAGGCGGGATGGCGAGAGTAGTGCTGCAACCTCGGTGGAAAGATTCGTGGAGAGAAGATGTGTTACGGCGGAGTGTAGGTGCCCCAGCACTTCGATGTTGCTTAGGGCTGGGTCGCGGTAGTGTTCAAATGTTGACCCGGATGGACCAGCCCCAACTCCGCTGGGGCAATCCCCAAGGACGTCTGAGAAACTTTCCGCGGTGCACGAAAATTGCGTGGGTGTTGTGTAGGTGTGGACCCAGTCGGGCAGCTCAACTTGGGGTTGGGGATGTTTCAATTCCAACTGCTGCAATGTTGCGATCGTCGCAGGGGCCGCTGGCGAGGGTGAGAGGGCTGCCAACGCTTTTCGCAGGTTACCCCGTTTCACCAACCCCTCCACACGTGAGCAGATTCCCAGGGGGTCGTTTTGGTGCTGAGGTGGCTCAGCTTGGTGCAGGGACCCCACGTAGTCACTGTAGAGCTGGTTCCAGTGGCCACATCTGAATAGGTGCATCTGCTCTCGCAGCACCTTCCACTTAGAGCTGGACCTCCTGCTAAGTCGTAAAGTGAGACGTGGCAGGAACATGAGGACCCGCCACGCTCCCGCGCAGTTGGGCAGTTTGGAGATCCGTAAGAGGGCGGCCAGCATACAGGTGGAGTAGTCGCTTAGTATCTGCGGCGGCAGGCGGCGGACGATAGGCAGGTGGGTGGTTGACGTTAGGGTTGAAGAGTCCCAGCTCATCGCGATCTCAAAGAGATCCTCCCTCGATGCCAGTTGGGACGCTGACAGGGCCTGGTCCGGAGGGGGTTGGGGTCTGCGGTTCTGTCGGCGTCTAGAACCTCTCTCCTGCTGCTGCGCCTGGTCCTCCCCCGCTTCCGCGAGAGGTGAGTCGGGGTTGTCGGGTTGCCTCAGATCTGACGGTACATATTCGTCGCCGCTCCCTTCTGCGTTTGTATCACCGATTCTCACTGCTTGCGCTGTCGTTCCCCCTCTCCCCCCGCGTCTAGCAAACGACTGGCGCGTGACTCGTTCCGCCGGCTCCCCCAACCAGATTGGGCTCGGTAGTTGGCGCGGATTCCCCCTCGCCGCTTGGCCTGCACTCCGCTGCCCTCCGCGCGCTCCTCGACCCCCGCCTCTCCCCCGCGTGCTTCCCCGTCCGCTCCTCGGAGTGGCTGCCACAGGTGCCGCCTGTTGCGCCTGGGAGATCGGCGTCGTCGGCTCCTCTTGTGGCAGTGGAGCGCCCTGAGCGCTCGCCGATGGATTTCCTCGGCGCTCTGGGCCGCGACTGCACCACGGAGAGCGATCCCGCTCCCCGTCCGCTTCCTCCTGCACGCCCTGCCGCGAGCGTACCTGTTGCTCCGCCGGCGTCCGCTGATCAGATCCGCCGCCGCTTCGAGGACCAGCAGCGCGAGCTGGCTCGGCGCGCGGGCAGGTCCTTGTCACCGCCGGAGCCCCTACGCGCGGGGTCCGTCTTGCGCTCCGGCGCAGAGGCTGTGGCGCACCAGGAGCGTTCGCCTCGCCGTCGCTCATCGGCAGCTCGCGACGATAAGCGGGAGAGCCGCCGCGATGATCGTCACGGTGCGGCCCGTTCGCCGCTGTCACCTCGTTCGCCTCGTCGCGTGGCGTCGCGAAGCCGATCCCGTGACCGCCGTTCGCATCGTCATCGTTCGCCCCCTCATCGTTCATCTCGCCAGCGGTCGCCTGCCCGCCAGACGTCTGGGCGTCGGCCCCCAGCTCCGCGTTCGCCCCCTCCTGCAAAGCGCCAACGGCTCTACTCCCCTCGTCGCGGGGACCGTTTTCCTGGCCGCCAGCGTCAGCAGGGCCCATCTCGCCCGCAGTCGCCTGTGCGCTCGAGCGCAAGTGGGCGTGCGCGTCGTGGGCGACGGGGAGGTGACAGTCGCGGCGGAAAAGCGGGTCCAGCGCCGTCCGCAATGGAGCGCCGTCTTCTGGATAGGCTTGATGACGTGGAGAAGGAGCTTCGTCGCTCGCATGCGGGGTCGGCGTCGCCATCAGCTCCTCGCGCTGCTCCCGTCGTCCCTCTCTCCGCGCTCCTGCCCCACAATCCCTTTGGATCCCCGGCGCGTTCAGAGCGGCCGCTGCCTGCGGGGATGGGCTTCGTAGGTGCTGGTGGCGGGCCGCCGTGGGCTCATTTTGCTCCGCCGCGTCCTCTTCCTGCTCCGCGTGATCTCGCCGTGTCGTCTCACCGTGCCCGCACGTCTGCGTTGCTTCCGCCGATGAAGGAAGTTCCCACGGCGACCCTGGCCCGCCTATGGTCGCTGGCGGCGTCCTTGCAGAGCCTTGAGCGGATTCTCCAGGAGTCATTTGACTCCATGCCGGTGAGCCCTCCGAGCAGGTTCTCTCAGAAACCGCGAGCAGATTGTCATGCGGCGGCGTCAGCGCTATTCGCGCTCGTAACGCCACTGCAGGTAGCGCCCTCGCCGGGAGCAACCTCGGCCAGCCAGCTGGCTGACTCGGCCCTGGCTCTGAGGACGCTTGTAGCAGGCCCTGGTACTCCTGTTGACGTTGTAGGCGCCACCGTGTCTGTGGTCCGCCAGTTGTGGTTGAACACGAGCGGAATGCTCGCTGCGGTAGAGGCGGACCGCATGTAGGCGCTCCCCCCTTGCGCGTGTAGACCCGTTCCATCCTCTACTTGCTAAGTGTCTATGCTTGCTTTGTTTGTATCGGTTGCCTAAGCTACTACTGCTTGTTGTTTCCCCTTGCCATCCCTAACGCGCGGCCGAAGGCCGCGAACGCGAGCGCCGGCGGCCGAAGGCCGCCGGCGCGAAGCGCCAAAATTTTCAGCACTAACTGAATGAGAGATGGAGGGGCCGCCGTGGCCTTAAGTAGTCATGGCAGAGGGCAGAAAGCAGAGGGCAGAGGGTAGAAGGGGAGAGGCTAATCCTCTCTCTCTCTCGCTCTCTCGAACGAACAAACGCCAAAATTTTCAGCACTAACTGAAAGAATGAGAGATGGAGGGGCCGCCGTGGCCTTAAGTAGTCATGGCAGAGGGCAGAAAGCAGAGGGCAGAGGGTAGAAGGGGAGAGGCTAATCCTCTCTCTCTCTCTCTCTCTCTCTCTCTCTCTCTCTCTCTCTCTCTCTCTCTCTCTCTCTATCTCTCTCTCTCTCTCTCAAACCAAGGTCCAAGGGCCTTAGTGAAAATATCAGCAGTGTTGGCAACTGAGGCCACGTAAGCAAGGCGAACCTCGACACGCTGCTGAAACTCTCGCAGGAAAAAGTAACGAATGGCAATGTGCTTCGTTCTGTGCTCGAGTCTCTGTTCCTGACGTAAGACAATCATGGCCTTGTTGTTAGCATACAGAACCGATGTAGATTGAGGCCACTCACCCAAGTCGGTGTGAAGCCAAGATCCGCAAGTGTCGTCCTCAGTGCGTCGTGCCACTCGCGGGGCGCCGACTATAGACTGGTCACCGGAGACTCCACTATGTACCCTCAGTGAAGCCATTAGATCTCCTCGTGGAGGCTGCCCTGCAAGAAAGCTGTCGAGAAGTCGAGAAAGTGCAGCTCGTAGTCACGCTGTGCTGCAACGTGCAGTAACACCCAAAGAGTAGTCATCTCGTGGAGGCTGCCCTGCAAGAAAGCTGTCGAAAAGTAGAGCAAATGCAGCTCGTAGTCACGCTGTGCTGCAACGTGCAGTAACACCCAAAGAGTAGTCATTTTTGGGGTGGAGGAGAAGGTCTAGAAGAAGTCGACCCCTTCGCGCTAACTGAAACCTCGTGCAATGTAACGTGCCTTGAAGACAGGCGGAGAACCCGGCGGCCGCTTCACCCTGAAAACCCGCAGGCCATTGACTATGTTCGTCCCAGGATGGGGAAATGCGTCGACGTAGGTGCCAGTGGACTTCCAGAATGCCATCTCTGCTTCCATAGTTTGTCTTTCGCTGAGAGGACCAAGGACCCGTGATCACCTCAGCATAAGAGCGCGGGGTCGAGATGTCCAGTGCAACTGGGTCTCTCTCAGGGGCAAGCAGCATGGCGGCGAGATAATATAGTAGTCGCGAGGGCAAGCTCACCCCCGACGGACACATGACAAGCAGAGTCAGAAACCAGACTCGCGAGGTAGTCAAGACGGCAAGTAGCACCAAAGTTAGTAAGCTCAGCGACCAAGGCAGACGTAGCACCAGACGAACAAGTAGGGTCCATCATAAGTGTGGCAAGACAACGAGTGAAATTCGGACTGGCAACACGAGCTAGGTCAGCACAGGGTAAAAAACGTCAGGAAGCGAAGACGGGGGAGGTAATGGAAGGGCAACAGACAGTGAAACAAAGGAAGGACGAAGCGTGATGGTGTGAGTACTGGGAACACGTGGAGGGCGAGTACAAGGGCGACGAGAACGAGCAACAGGTGAGGTAGCCCGAGACGCAGTCTCCCTACGCTCAGTCAGGGAGTCGGTCAGTGGGGAGTAACGAGGATGAACAGGCAGGGTTAGCCAGGCAGTAACTGTGCCTGAGATAGGTCAAGCTGCGGAAACAGTAGAGGAGGAGTAGTACCAGTGATAGACGGGTCTGGAGAGGCAGGCGGAAGACTGAGAAGGTGGTAGCGACGATTGCGACTCCTCCCAGAACAACGACCGCTGCCACTGCAGCTGCGACGCACCCCCAGAACTAGCTCCTCCTGTACAAACACCAAGAACGCCTCCAGCTCCAGCACAACCAACACCCTCTGCATCAGCACCACATCCAGGACGAACACCAGGAATTCCTCTTGCTCCATCACCACCAGCAACCTCTGTGGTCGTACCTCCTCCAGGACTAACACCAGGAACGCCTCTAGTTCTGACACCCGAACCTCGAACAGTATACCGTCGACTCCACCAACACGAGGACCCACCGCACCCCCTTAGTCAGCACCCCTAGAACCAGCACCCTCTGAGCCTGCACCTCCAGAGTCACCACCCTCAGAACAAGCACCCCTAGAGCCCGCACTTTCAAAGTCACCACCCCCAACAGCGCTGGGCCCCTTGAAGTCCGCAGCTCCAGGTTGCAGAGGAGGCGAAGACAATCGAGGTGGAAAACCAGGAGGTGTCTCCAAGCGCAGTGGAAGGCGAGAGGCCGCTGTGTCCTCAGCACCAGGGTCAACTTCATAAGCCGTGCTAGAGGGGTCTGAGGAGACCTCCAAAGGCACAACCGAGGGGAGTGGGGTGACCTGAGACACACCTGAGGGAGCAGGAGAAGGGAGGAAGGGGGGGGTCTATATGGGGGGGACTTGGAACCAGGAAGAGGGGCGGGGGGGACACGGGGGAACTTCGGTGGGGGTAAAGACGGTAGTAGCAAACCAACTTGTTAAGGTGACATCATGGTAGGATAGGGCGCGACGGGTGGCTGGGTGGCAAAGCTGCCAGTCAGACGCATCGACGCGAAAGCCAAGGAAGACGCAGCAAAAAGTGCGTGGAGAGAGCTTGCCCGCTGTAGGATCGCCGACAAGGGCAAGCAAACACCAGACCCGAAACGCAGACTCTGCCGACCGAAGCAAGGTAGGCGAGGTCTCTGGCTGGGAGACAAGGGGCCAGAGGTTGAGCTGATGCATGGTGTATCGGACCACGAATGGCCACAGAAAATGGGGAGCAGCCACATGGATCATGGAGGTGAGAGCAACCTCCATGATCAAGCCAATATGGTGCCCAGTAATCCCATTCTACTGTGGAGAGGCCGGAAGCGTGAGCGACTGGGTGATGCCCTCCTCACGACAAAATTCCTCAAGGAGACAGAGGCAAACTCCCCACCACTGTCAGAGTGCAGACGGAGCACTGGGAGTTCCTGCTGGAAATGTGCACTCAGCTGGAGACGAACAGGGCGAATTCAAAATATTAGAACAGTGCGGACGTCACCTTTATGCTCTAAGGGAAACATCGTGGTGTAGCGCGTGGAGTCATCGACGACCAGCAAAAAGTAGCGCTTCCGGCATGGCCCAAGGACGGTAACGGGCCCCCACACGTCCATGTGCAGCGTCTGCAAAGGAGCTGTGGTTGGAAGAAACGAGGAGGAGTGAGCGGCGGCACAGTGCAACCCCTTGACGCAGGGAGTGCACGGCGGTGCGAGCGACGGCGGGAGCGGGGGCAGAGACTGTGGGAGCCCAGAGACAAGGTGATGCGAGTGCATGTGATGGAGACGCTGAAGGGAGGAGTGACCAAGACGGTGGTGCTAAAGGAGGGACTGGTGCTTGAGAAACTGACACGAGCAAGACGCAGCTACTTGACCTGACGCAGCCACCTGGGGGGAATTCGCGTGCAGTGTGAAAAGTCCAGACCCAAGCCTCCGTGTGAACGTGGCTAGGTGAGCTCCCAACGCTGTGTCTGTACAGATCAACACTCGCTCGCCTCCAAGAATCGTGGTGGTCACAAAAAGATCCTAGAGGTGGCCGGCACTCACGAAGTTCGTAGCGAACAAGGGGAGGTGCAGGCCTGCGAGAGAGCCAGAGGGACCTGCCAGGCACATGAGAGCAGTGGAGCTGCGAGCATTGACAGGACCGGAGGTGGGGTGAGCTAGAGTGACAAGTACATGAGCTGAGAGCGGTGCGATGGTGGTGCTGTCGCAGAAAAAGCACCAAGTAATGCTGGAGTCCAGCATCAACATGAGCGAAGCTTCTGCAGGAATTGCACCTGTGCTAGTAGGCTCACCAGCACCTACACTAGCAGTCTCTACACTACCAGGTCTAGGCACACAAGAATAATAGTCACCATCAACACTAGCACTAGCAGCATATATGGCATACATGCTTACATAAATCTTGTCCCTAACAATAAAGAATATATCTATGTCCCTCTTGAGAAATCCTAACCAGTCAGGGACCCTGGCCTGCTCACCAAACTCTGCGCGAAAAGTGTCCTTGAGGCGGCAGAAACAGCGAGGCTCACCGTGCCCGCCGCAGAATCACCAGCTCGAGGGCCATTTCGACGCACGTACGGGCAAGGACCAGTAGCGGGACCACCACCTCCTGGGGAGCCTCGCTGGGAAACCCACTCACAAAGCTGCTACGGCGAGGGAACCTCTTGCCGACGTGGCTGTTGCTGTCAACCCTAAAAAATGCCACATCCACCGGCTGCACCATCGGACGCAGCTCCCTTGGTCACCGCGCTTAGGCCACCACCCCCGCCAACTCCACCTCGACCGCCACCCCAACCCCCTCCGCCACCCCCGCCACCCCCACTACCTCCACCACCCCCGCCACCTCCACCGCCACCGCTGCCTCCACCGCCACCGCCACCTCCACCTCCACCACCCCCGTTACCCCCACCGCTACCGCCGCCTCCACCACCCCCACCACCTCCACCCCTCCTATGCCCACTCCTGCCGTTGCGCCTCCCG